GACGTGTGCTCTTCCGATCTCAGTGCAAACACTTTTGCTTCCGATTAAAAAATTTTACTTGCTTCAAGAAAATTATTTCTTTGAGGGGTACTTGAAACATATTTATTTGTTTTAAGTAATTTTTTTTCTCAGTGTAGTATACGTAATGTAAACTTGAAATTTTCAATACACATAGTGAATAATGGAACGTGGTCTATATAGATATAGAAAAATTTGCTGGAATTCATTAAACTTCGAGAATTCATCGAACTTTGACGGAATTCGGCGGAATTCGAGGAATTTATTGGACTTCGCCGGAATTCATTGGATTTCATCGGACTTTACTGGACTTCATCGGAATTCGAGGAATTCATTGGACTTCGTCGGAATTCATCGGATTTCATCGGACTTTATCGGACTTCATCAGAATTCGAGGAATTCATTGGACTTCGCTGGAATTCATCGGACTTCGCCGGAATTCATCGGACTTTGTCGGAATTCATCGGATTTCATCAGACTTTACCGGACTTCATCGGAATTCGAGGAATTCATCGGACTTCAAGGAATTCAATGGACTTCTGACGGGTTTGTACACCGGAATTCAAGAGTGGTTACCCCCTCGATGTTTTTAGACAGCACAATCTAATGTGTACTCAATAAATGATGACAATCAACAATCAATAAATATGCTATCCACATCAGCCTTACATTTGCCTGAAATGTATTGTCCGATAAGAAATGATACGAGTAGATGTTTATATGACGAGGACAATAACACTGATGATATAACGAATGATAGCGTCTTAAATGATATCGAAGAATGGAACTGGGACAATGTAGGCGAATATATTAACGATTCTGATGGTGAAGCAATTGAAAATGTAAATATATTTTTAAATGATCGATATTAATGTTTGATTATGTGCTGATCCAAATATTTTTGCCGACTCGCCAAATAAGAAAATTTGTAATTGATTTTTTTTTAAATTAATCTACGAGCTTTACTAACAAAATTAGATTTATTAACAAAGCTTCAAGTTTTCTCTATATTTGTTTGTCATGAAAACGTAAAAAATAAATTTCAAGTTTTCTCTCTAAATTAGCTAGCCGCTAATATTTTATGATAGGAATGCCACATATGATAACAAAGTTAAGAAAGTCAGGAAACGAAAATTGGGAGTTAATTATATTAATACGTTAACTAAAAAAATATGATAAAATAGCCATTTAATTATAGCTAATTGCAACAAATGATTTTTTTTTGTTCTGGTTTTTGCTTTATTGTGCTTAATATTTATTATTTAATTAAAATGAACAATTTTTCAAATAGACATAAAACAAATTTTTTCTATATACCTAACATTTAAAGTGTTTTCATATTTTCAATGTATTTTCATAATACATTGTAGGTATCGCAAACTGGAACAAGTGAGCACGATTTGAATTTGAATGAAACTTTATGTCCATGCACCACTACCACACGAGGCGAAGCGATACTCATATGTATGAAAATAGCGATGTGGTTCTGTCTTCCTTGGAACGCTGTTGTCTGCATGTTGCAAGCCATAAATATTATTTTACAAAAAAAGAATATTTTGCCAAATAATAAGTATCAATTACTACAGTACTTCCCTATTGGGCAATCAGATAATTTTAAGTATCATATTTATTGCTCAAACTGCAAGAAGTATGTGGGTGAACGATCACATATCGAAGATTTTATTTGCGATTGTGGAATCCGCATTAAGGTTTCAGAAACAAAATCATTTTTTTTAGAATTAGATTTTAAAAGCCAATTATGAAATTTATTGCAAAAACCATACATAACAAAAGGTTTGAAAGAGATATGTAATAGACGTAGAGACGACGATGGCAATATAAATGACATATTTGACATATTTAACATGTACAAAAAGTGGGATTCGCCCCAAGGTTTACTAAATGGCAGATATAATTTGTCGTATACCTTTAATACAGATGGCTGCACAACAGGAAAGTCAAGTACCTCTTCGGTTTGGCCAATTTATGTCATGATCAATGAATTGCCAATTAACATACGTTCCAAAAACATGATTCTAATAGGTTTATGGATTGACGCATGTAAACCTGATATGAATATATTTTTGCAGCCATTCATAAACCAAGCAAACAATTTATCTTCAAATGGAATTTCATGGAAATTAAGCGATAACGTCACAATAACCAGTTTGGTAATGCTATTACTTTGCTCCGTTGATTCAATGGCAAGATCAGCAATATTGAACATGAAACAGTGCAATGGCAAAAGCGGATGCACTTTCTATGAACATCCGACAGAAGGTGTTTCAGTGCAGACTAAAAGTGCCAGCCGTATTCTATGGAAGTACACAGTCTCTACTGATATTCCACTTAATCGGACAGACGCATCCATAAGAAGAGACATGATTATAGTCTGCAATGCCAAAAATGGAAAAGATGTTAATGGAATATGGGAACCTTCCTGTCTCATGAACTTACATTATTTTGATCTCGGAGATGGATTTGATTCTGAGTACATGCATTCTTGCCTTTTAGGTGTTCAACGGCAATATATGGAGATATTGTTAACTTCTTTCGGGAAAGATTATTATGTAGGTTCACCCCAAAAAATGAATATTATCAATATGCGTTTAATGTCTATTCAAACTCCAAAGTGTATTACAAGGACGCCGAGGAGCTTAAAAGATATTCGGCTATGGAAAGCCTCTGAGTGGAGATCATGGGCAATCTTGTATTTGTTAGTTTGTTTGCGTGGTATATTATCGGAAAAATATGTAAATCATCTGACTTTATTTGTGTCAGCATTGAATATTCTCTTGCAAAAATCAATTAATTCCAAAATGTTAGAAAGAGCTCATATTTTACTTATAAACTTTGTTGTTCAATTTCAAAGCTACTTTGGGAAACAAGAAATGTCGTATAATTGTAGGAAGCGAATATTCTAGACGGCATCGCGACGCGATATTGTAACGAAGCGAGAAAAGAAAAGCGAGCGAAAAGACGAACTTCTTTTGTCACCGAGCGCTCGGACCGAGATGCGAGCGCGACTCACGGGAGTTCAGTTCGGTTGACGACAGGCGAGTCGAATGGACGCGACGTGTTCTTGTATCACTTTTTATAATATTGTTACGCCCGCGCCGTTGCGATTTGAGCGAGCTGGTCGAGCTGCCGGCGAGAGTTACTTGTTTCCCGGACAACGAGATTCTTCGTTGTCAAACGGATGCCATGAGATTTGGGGACGAGCCGTCGACCCGTTCGGACGTGCTCTAACCCCTTTCTGTATTTCGCTACGTTCTCTTGCATTAAAGAGTTTATCACTTTCTAAGTTGGTGTTCCATTTATTTCTCCGCGGCGATCCGGTACGCGTGCGCGTGCGCGAGTGCGGAAACGCGGGTAACACACGTTCGAGTGCGCGAACGCGAGTTTTACCGCCCCGGGCGTAACAATATATTATATATTACGAAATAACATTATATACAATATCTGCTTATACTATAATACGCAGGGTTGGCAAAGTTACTTTATGAAAGTAACTCGTTACTGTTACTCATTACTGATTTGAAAATGTAACTCGTTACCATTACCGTTACTCAAAAAACTAACGAGTTGATACTATTTTCGTTACTTTTTTCTTATACTTATACCCGATATACTGATCAAAGATTAATTAAATAAATTTACGGATTTTTATAGACTTCAAGAACAGCTGGACTTTGAGAACAATGTTAAAGAATCAAATAAAAAAACGGAAAAAAATTAAACGACTTAAAAAAATTGATTACTCAACTTCATCATTCTTTAAAATCGTATGTATATTTAATCTTATAATATATACTCTTATAACTATTAATCTTATAATATCTTATATCTTTACAGCCGTGAAAACATAACAACTCAAGAAATGAATGATGTTTTACCAGGACTTCGTTCGATAACTCAAGCATATGATTTGTTGAATACCTTTAATGTAAATCTAGATCGCATTAGAATATAAGTAGATAAAATTAATAAAGTTTTGTAGTTATAACTAAATAATAACTAAATAATAACAATACATAACACTTTCGTAGACCCACAAGAACTTTATCACCGCAAAGAACAAATTCCTCTCTAAATGCATCAAGGTCAGAGAACTCGCAGGAAATTAACGAATTAAGCGTTCCATCGGAACATAATGTAACAAACTCCGACATTAATGACCCAATTGAGTAAGTTTGTTTCTACAATAAAAATAGGCAAATTTCAAGAAAGAGCAACGTTGTTAAAAATTATCGACGAAGTTGCTCTATCTTAAAATTTGCCTATTTTTAAAGGAACAGGTGATCCTTTAATTTTTTGTGTATTTTCTAATATACTTCTTAAATATTCCACTTAGATATCCTGCAATAATTTGTCCAATTGGTGAAGGAGGTGACCACGAGGTGACGGACGATAATTCAGATATCTTTGATAAAAACATTGAGAATATATATAATACATACAAATAGCTTCAACAAACATACACATAGTTTCAACAAATCTAAATCATATGAAGGAAAAATACCAAGAAAGAAAAAAGTATGTGATACTTGTTAAATTATATATAAAACAGGGTGTATAATGATAATTATTAATGTATAATATATTAATAATTTAAATTAAGCAGCTATGACAGAAATGAGCCACTAATACCAATTGAAGCAGTCTCACAGGATCCTGGACCTTCCAGTTCAAAAAATGACCAGAATCCATCCATAATCAAATCAACTAAACGAAAGAGGTAATTATTCATTTTTTTACATTAAAAATTATTACGGAAATAGGAAAATAGGAATAAACTTCAGAAATATTACATATTAAAAAGATTATGTTTGCATGTAACATATAAAGCATAACCAACAAAATATATAATATATAATATATTATTTGTCTATCCTATGGACAGCTTGTAAGGCTCATGGATATCCCGACCAGAAATGGACATAAAACGGATATCCGTAGGATGTCCTGTAGGAATCCTGTGATGTCTGGGACCTCATCGTTTCTTAGGAGGTCCCGAGAACATCTTCAGGATATATTTACATAGGATTGAAGCTGTCCACAGAACGTCCTGAGGCTGTTCCCAGGACGTCCTGAAGCTATCCCTAGAACGTCCTGAGGCTGTCCCCAGGACATCCTAAGACTGTCCCCTGGACGTCCTGAGCCTGAACTGACGCTGTTCTAAAACTGTCCTGAAGAAGATATCCTAAGGACGTCCCGAGGACATCCCGTGGATATATGAATGTCCTCAAAATGTCCCAGGACGTCCTGGGACATATTCAGGCCGCGAGATAGCGTTGGGCATCCGTCACCCGTCGACTAGATAAAAATTTTAATAATAAAATATAAAAGAAAATATCGAGAAACAGTGTTTTATTTCTAATATTATTTTCAGGGTACTTATAAACGTTTCGTCTGTAAAGGCAAATTTATTTACGAAAATATTCTTGAACATCAGTGTCTTGGTGGAAGTGAAGGCGTTTTCATTGATTTTAACACAAACATTTTTTATGCTGTCAAAAGCGGAGGTAAGAAAATATAATTATTTCTTTTAATATATTTAATAAATTATTTTAATATATTTTATAAATATTATTTTACATAATCTAGTATAAATAAAACAATTTTTTGTTGATACAGAAATAATTTGCAATAATGAAGGTCTGTTTTGCACAAATTGGTAAGGAAACGGAAATAAAAAAGAATTTAATTCAAGCTATAAAAAATTATCCTGAATTATGGGGACTATCGAACCGAGTTTCTTCAACACCCAAAAATATATTATGGATTGAAATAAAAAATGCTGTTTATAAAAATGAGTCTATAAATATTGCGATTAAATTATTCTCGTAGATATATAGATTGCTGAAAAATAATTTTAAAAAATTGTATACTTTGTTTCAGAAAATAATGCTGCCATAAAGGCATTAAAGTCGAATTGGAAAAATAAAAAAAAAAACATTTTGATATTATTAAAAATCGACAATCGTCATGGAGGTTCCTTAAAGATATGGATTTTTTGAGAGAACCGTTTCTACAATCATTGAAGAATAAAGAGTAAGTAGTAATGAATAAGTAATTGTTTGAATTATATATTTCGTTATACTATTAATGATGTATATACATTTCTTATAGTCAAAATATCACAGTTTCTGGATCGCAGGACTCCCAAGAAAATGATATAAATATCAGTAATGTTCAAGATTAATAGCTGAAGTGGAGCTGCAATTTTACATGAGATCGAATTTTATGGCAAATATTTTGTACGAATATCCCTCGATATATCTCTGGCGAAAATTTTCCTTAAAATTGTTTATATAATTTTTCAAAATTTTTATATAAATTTCAAAACCTTTTAGAAGCATCGTATAATTTTTTAAAACATTTCTCAAATTTTTAATACAAATTTTAGCATTTTTTAGAAATTCTAAAAAAAAAGTCTACATGTTTTTTAAATTCTTTATATACGTGAAATTTTGAAATATTTTAAGATTTCTTATTATATTATTTTCGAAAAAAATTGATAAAATCTGAATTTAACTTTTATAAATTCTCAGAAATTCATATTTGTACAATTTTTTAAAATATAAGATACGACAACTTTTTTTATCAGAGATATATCTCGTTATTAGCATTATATTATCAGCATCTTGTAATATATGATGTAACCTGTTTGCGGAGTACAAAATTGTAAAGACAAAGCGATAATGGCGGCATGCAGCATCGCGAAAATACGCGGTAGTGATTGTTGCGTAGAACGAAAATTGAAAGTCGTGCACGACGCTAACAAAAAATCTGGTCGGACGAATCACCCGCACCACACACGTAAAAACTACGCATTTCGTATCGGAGATACGGCACGGCCTCTCAAACAAATAAACATATATAGCAAGCATCCCCAATAAAACTTTCGAATTTGTAAAATAAAATTTGTGTTTTTACACGTGTGCTAGCAAAGACACCGTTGCCGACACCGCGACGTTGTCGCCGCCACCATGACGCCGTCGTCGTCACCCCGTGACGATCCCATTTTCGACAAACGCCAATAGACTAACGGACGGACAGCGGTGGGGATGGAAGTAATCTTTCGTTTTTGGTATAAAAGGACGTGCTGCGCGCAACAAACAGCTCTCTCATATCATTACGTTTTTCGAGAGTAACAGAACGAGTCGGATCTCCGGTTATATCACGTGTGTGGAGTACCGCCACCCGAGCGAATAATGAGTCATCTTGAGACGTGTCGCGGTTCTTTCTGACCAGATACACCGACGCAGGACGAACACGTCGTCCCGATGCGTGTCATAGACTACCCAGGGCTCCGAGAGCTTATTCGGCTGGTCGCGATAACGGAGAACCTCGTAATCCGCGTTCGCGCGGATTAAGAACTATATACGTTACGTGACGGGGAATAGCCGAGCGATTATTCCTCGACCGATATCTCGAACCATCAACAACGCGAACATCAATGGCACTGACGTGTAGAAATACGAATACGAATCAGTGTAAACGAATATAAATAAACAATACATATACGAAAATACAGTGCGGGTGATAGTGTTACACTCCTGAACCACTCAACAGTGATGCTTCCACGTGGGCTCATTAACCGTGTTAATTCAATATTTATGGTAGCCTATATAGTCTCAATAATTTTGTAATTCCCGCTGTTTACGAGATTATTGCCCTGCTGTATATACATGAAAAATTATTATAAAATTTCGTCTATTGTATAAGAAATTTTACGTATATTACGTCTATTGTATAAGAAATTTAAATTTTATTATAAGAAATAACGATGGTGGACATTAATATACAATAAAATATACACAGGTATACATATAGATACACAAATAACGATGATGGATATTAATAAATTTCTAATCCTTGCGATGAGATGATTTATTCTACTGTACATAATATACCTTATAATATATATATATATATATATGTATATATATATATATATATATATATACATATTAAGTAATCTGAAAGCAAAAGGAAATTCTTTAAAAAAAATTCAACTTCAAAACCTCAAAACCAACCAACCAACTTTAAAAAAACCAGAATAATGCGAATAGTTCAAATTCGAACCGAATTAAATTGAATCACAATAGATTAAGACCGGATATCTTTACAGTACAAATATATAAATCTATTCTCCGAAATTTACTGTATCCAATTATTAGTCGTAAAAAGCACTTCGATATTTGCATGTATTATATTTTTAAGGTTAAATTATATACGCAGTTGTCATGGTTTCACTGCATAAATTATTTAAAAAACCGTTAAAAAAATGAATATATAATTCGTACAATATGCAATCGAATTGTCATCCCTTTCCCCCAAATATACTACTTGTTCTAAAATATGATCCAAGTACCAAATGAAAGCAAATATCATGTATTACGAATCCAGAAACGTACGTGATTTTAATATTTTGCAAATAAACTTTTTTGGAAATTATTATTAACCGTGAAAATAAGGGTACAAATTGGAAAAAGAAACTGCTGACTTCAAAAACGTCTGCATGTCAGCCAGTGTTGAACGTGTATAAATTAACAATATATTGTGGCGGTGCACTTACGTTACAGCACGCGCGCCTGGCCAGCGCGCCCACCACGTGACGAGAGTAGTGCGCGGCGCCACTTTTCTCATAATTAAAATTCACCCACGCCTGCTATATCTATGGCCCCGTGGGTGGCCTTCGGCAAGTTTCCCTGCTCTCGAAATAGCGCGAGCTTACCTAGGCCACTATTTCGAGAGTGTTTTGAGGTAACCATAACCGTCGGCAGAGCGAGCTCAGCTCTCCGAAATCGGAAGGAAGCGGGACTCCCGGCCTTCCGATTAGGAGTGTTCCCTGGGCCTCTGCCTTTGCTGCCTTCGCTGCCCATCCGGGCCGTTTTTACACCGTCCGTCCGGACCGCAACCTCCATCACGCCGCGGGCCAGGAAACGGGGACAGGATCGTCCCCCGGCCTCGAGGGCACCCGTTACCCGACTTCGGAGCCCTCCTCTGTCGACCCCCGAGTCATCCGAAGAACGTCTGGACCCAGGAGTGTCTTATCTACCGTGGAGACTAATACTCGTAGACCTTCCGGACGCGATAGTAACGAAGTTGAGGCTGGCGGACCCGCGACCTCGACCGGTCGCCACCCAGGTTTCATGCTTGACGCAGACGGACGTCGTTAGCGCCCGGCTGCATCCAGTAGTGCTGTCGCCGCTGAGCCCGCCACCATCAACGCCTCGGAAGCCGAGGACACCAGGGCGTCCGCCGAGTCCTCCCGGAAAAACTCCGGCGACGCCGACCGGCCATCCGGCCTACCCGCCGAATCGGCGAGACACGCTCGATCGCCGAAACGCTTGTCTGGCGTGAACACCAGCCCTCGGCGTTCAGCAGGCCTGGCGAAACGCTCCAGGACACCGGAACGCTTCCGGGAGCTACTAGAGAAGCGAGCACGAACGTCGCGGGATCCTAAAATCCGGGCCATCTCCTCAGTGCAGCGCGACCCTCTCCTCCAGGCCCGGCTGCG